GACAGGATGCCAGTCTGTCACAGGGCACAAGGCAGGGGAACAACCAGGACAGGATGCCAGTCTGTCACAGGGCACAAGGCAGGGGAACAACCAGGACAGGATGCCAGTCTGTCACAGGGCACAAGGCAGGGGAACAGCCAGGACAGGATGCCAGTCTGTCACAGGGCAAACACTCACACAGTCACTATGGGCACTTTTAGAGGCACCAATTCACCTGAACCATGCATCTTTAGATGTGAAATCAGCGAGCTCACCAGTGCAGATACAGGAAGAACATGCCAGCTGCCCACAGAGAGCTGGGCCGGATACCTAAACCACAAGCCTGGAGGTGTGAGGCTCCCACGCTGCCCCCACTCTCTACCAACTAGAGGTTAACTAGCTCTCCAAACCCACTGCAGAGTGAAAGACAACCAGGTCTATTCTCAAGCCCTAAAGACCAATTGAAACTATACTTTTCTGTGTGCACTTTTTGTCGTGTCCTGGGTGAGCTGATGTAAATTTCATCATCAGACGTTTATGCCAGATGGCTGCAGACAATACACATGTAGCCCAGATTTTTTGTCTGGCAGAAATCATGCACATCACTGCACGTCCACTGCGCTTGTGCAAGATAATTGACTAGGTGTTTCCAGTATGTGGCAGCACTGAGTTTCACAGAGCAGAGTCAACCAAGAATGAGAAAAGGAAGAAAAATTGTGGTAAGAGGTGAGGAGTTATGCACATATATATTTTATATATTGCAGCGCAGTATATTTTCAAATGCAACAATATTCTGCCTGAACCTCTACTAACAACTTTAAAATTATTCCTAAAATTTTTACCCATTTCACTACACTGCGTGTATTTCTGTTTGTTGCAACACATCTGCTCTCTCCTGGTCTGGTGGAATATCACTGCCATAGGCACCAACTGCATCCATCTGCATCCACTGGTAAATGTAATATGAACACAAGTTGCCATGTGTATGACCATCCTCAGTCCAAAAATGCAAACAGAAAACTGCGCTTGAGGCTGACCTTGACCCCTGATAAACAGAGACCTGCCCCTGAATATATAGATATTAAAATTATAATATCTATAACCTGATACATGGTACATTGATCATTTCTGAAATATTACCATAGTGATTACACGTGTTTTGATACAAAACACCCACAAGAATTCAAAAACAATTCACAATTTCAGAGACAATGTTATGCAAAGCAGACGAATCTTTGCAGAATTGACATTTCACAGTTCTTTCTGACCAGATCTCCATCATTATCTCCAAACTGTACCTGGCAGTATGTGGAGGAGCAGGAGAGAGATCTCTACTCAGTTCCACTGTAATGAATGACACTCACCTGTGAGCCCAGCAATGAGAAGAAACAGGAGCATCAGAGGATCCATACTTGTGTGTGTCACTGAGCCTAGATCTCCCGAGAGTGACAATCACTTTCTCATCCTCTGTACCTTCACTGTCTCTCTTGTTTCTATTCTCACATACAGCAGGCAGAGCGAAGGGGGAGTGGACACTTTAAACAGGAAGTGACAAAACCACAAGGCTGAATGTTTATTCCTTCAGAAAATCAGACCATTATTATGAGTCTATAGAGAATATTGCTAATAAGACACAAAAATTAGTTGGATCTCCTTGTTGCCTCAAAGATCCATCTCTGTTTCATCATTCTTATTTATCATTTATCAAAATGCTGGAAGCACACAGTGTAAAGTGAGGAAAACTTTCGATAGCACGTCAGTCCACTGCAGAGCACTGGAACCTGGAGAAATGCCATATGATCAGAGGAAGCCTGCAAACTGCACACAGACACAATCATGGTCACATTCAAAGATAACACTCAGGAGTGCTGAGATAGCAGGTGTATCAGTCAGATATCTAATATCATGAAGAGCTAAAGACACAGATGGACTTTGAGGAACCACAGCAAGACCAACAGTACATGGGCTCAAAATACATCAGTTTACTGGCAATGTCTAGTTGCTCTGAACTGCAATTGCAGCCAGAGTAGAACATTTTTAAAAAATAAAGCCTTCAGCTTGCCTGCTTTCCTGTGTTATACATGTGACTCACAGGTACTTCCTGCAGCTTCACAGCCAAACCGAAATGAAAACCTGAGAGGGACAGATGCTGTAGAAAACATTGAGGGCCAGTACGTACCATCAAAGGCAATAATCTTTACATTCAGGTCAGGTGAGGTCAGGTTGGGGAGTATGAGCTGATGCTGATCCATGTTTCACAGCCATACAGCAAGACAGGGAGCAACAGGACTCTAAAGACTTGGACCTTTGTCCTCTTGCAAAGATGTCAGGAGCTCCACACATCCCTTTTCCAGCGACCTCATGACCCCCCATGCTCTTCCAATCTGTCTACTGACTTAATTTGTCCTGCTGTTTACAGGAATAAACAGTTCAATATCATCTGGAATCTTATTTTAGAAACATGACTTAAAAGTAAAACTATTCAGAGTTGGTCTTTACAAAGAATCATTGTAGCTCAGAGATTAAAAATACATGCAAGTGAAGCAAATATGTCAAATTTATTTCTGAACTGTTTGACTTGTTTTTCTGTCACACATAATAAAGCAGCTACATGTTT